AAAATAAAACATCATGAAATAATTCTCACGACGTTTCGTCCACAACGCAAGCAGCCGTCCTCAGGTGGAGAGCAGGTCTGTCGAGTAGACAGAGTCTGACAGACCTGCTCTCCACCTGAGGACGGCTGCTTGCGTTGTGGCCGAAACGTCGTGAGAATTATTTTATTATGTTTTATTTTTATTATTTTATTATTTCCATTCTACGTGACTTTACCGAAAGAACCAAGAAGACGCTTGCCACCAATGAACCACAACACCCTCGCTGGTCTCGTCCAGAAGAATAAAACACCAGACACGCAAACTCCGGTGGTCACACTCGCAGCAGCAGCGGTAGCGGCTTTTGGGCTGCGAGCCATCGGACAAAAAGACGACGATTGTCACCGCATCGCGGGGCGCTTTCAGACGCGCTTCTGCGGCCGTCTGGAACGCTCTTCTTTCCGATGTTACGAAGTCACTGGACTTTTAAATCATCATCTAGATTGGCAAACTAATTTCTTTAGAACTGCTTTTGTTGTGTTGAGTTTGTTGTCCTTCTCCCGCTCCTGCGATGAGCACGGTTGGCTAGGTACGGTGCGAAAGAAGTTCAACATACACATGTACCTTGCTGATCTCGTCCAGGAGCATAAACCACCACGCAAACTCCGGTGGTCATCCTCGCAGCAGCTCGGCTTTTGGCTGCTAATCATCAAACAAGAACGGTAGTCACTGCATCGCGATGCGCTTTCAGACGCGCTTTGGTGGCCGTCTGGAACGCTCTTCCTTCCGAATATTAGGAAGCCACTGGACCTCTGCACTTTTAAATCATCATCTAGATTGACAAACTAATTTCTTTAGAACCGCTTATTGTTGTGTTTAGTGTTGTTGTCCTTCCCCCCCGCACCTCCGATTAGCACGGCCGGCTACCTACGGTGCAAAAGAAGTCCAACGTGCATACAGACAGACAGACAGACACGCGTACGCGCACTGACTTGTACAAGATGGCATGTTGACCTCCGATAAGCTGAGGCGACACAGGTGCGAAGATGGGGAGGCCGCGGTGCAGATGGAGGAAGCGGTGGCGGTCTCTGTGCAAACACGGCCGTGCCATGGGGTGTGAGCTGGCCTGCAGATAGGAGGCAGACGGGGGCAGGTTAAGCATACTTCACCTTCCACGGCTCACGTTTGCCCTCACAGCCCAGTTAAGTAAATCAGTAGGAGACCCTCACATTGATCCGCCTGGACACCATCTCCTTGAAAGAACTCCACTTTGTTTCTTTTTTTTTTATCAGACATGGTCGCCCGGATTGTTCTTCATGCTGCACGAAATCTTATTGGGGCAACTCTCGACTACAATTAAACAAAAACCGGAATATATTCTACTTCTTGTTGTCGTGCGGCTGCTGATGTAGACGCAGAGTAACAGCTACAATGCAACGTTCAGGTGGTGAAGCCAGCAGATAATGATTATGGTAATGATGTTGATGGTGATGACGAAGATAGTGGTGGTGATGATGATGATAATTATAGTGGTGATTATAACAGCGGTGATGTAGATGATGGTGTTGATGGTGATGATGTTAATGATATTGATCGTGTTGATGATGATAATGATGCTACTCCTGATGATAACGGTGTTCATGGCTGATGTAGATGCAGAGAAACAGCTACAATGCAACGTTCAGGTGGTGAAGCCAGCAGATAATGATTATGGTGATGATGATGTTGATGACGAAGATAGTAGTGGTGGTGATGATGATGATAATTATAGTGGTGATTATAACAGCGGTGATGTAGATGATGGTGTTGATGGTGATGATGTTAATGATATTGATCGTGTTGATGGTGATAATGATGCTACTCCTGATAATAACGGTGTTAATGGCTGATGTAGATGCAGAGCAGCAGCTACAATGCCACGTTCAGGTGGTGAAGCCAGCAGATAATGATTATGATGGTGATGATGATGATTATTATAGTGGTGATTATAACAGCGGTGATGATGATGATTGTGTTGATGGTGATGATGTTAATGATGGTGATAATGATGCTACTCCTGGTGATAATGGTGTTAATGGCTAATGATGTAGACGCAGAGTAGCAGCTACAATGTCACGTTCAGGTGGTGAAACCAGCAGACAACCGCCATCAGGAGCCGTAGCAGAGTTAGCGGCATCATCATCATCGCTGTGATGTCTACCTTCGTATTTGTGGATCGGGGCATTGCGTCGTCACACGTTGTTACGTTCTCGTTCTGGATGACCGCAGTCGCCACACTACTACTGGAGAGTTTGAATTTTACATTTGTGTATCATCAGCCATCTGCATCTACTGTTTCCATGGTTTGTGCAGCGAATGCGGTTTAAGGGTGGACCATGAACCTCGTGGAAGATCAAACCCAGTGATCTTCTATATTGTATGTAAATAAAATGGGATGACAGTCCATGATAGAGGTTTTTTGGGGTTAGATAGCGTAAATATATACATGTGTATCTACATTGTCTTTGAGGTGTACGCCTTTTGGCGTCCTCTGGTCGAGCACCAATTGGGTCGAGGCTCAAAAGAAAGCCGTCTCTGGTGTGGACCAATCAGTTTCAAGGACAATGCATATATTATAATAGTGTTTTTTTTGCATTTTGACTGAAAGTATTGTGGTTAATGCAGACATGAATCCTCGTAAAAAAAGTTTCAGTTTTGTTGCCAGAAAAAAGGGGGAAAACCCCTATTATTATATAAATGTGTCGTGAAACCCGCCACCACCCGGCACAGCCAATTCGTAAAGCTTGTCACGTAAATAAAACATACCACATCGTGACGAGCACAGCACACCGGTGTGTTGGAGAGTAAACCCACAACATTGAGAGTATGCGTTTACAACGATCCCGTGAATAACCTTGATCGCCATAATCGTGAACTGTGATTTATATCCACTGCTGGATGAAGCCCACTTCACACCCAGATCCTATTATCACGAACTTATTTACACCATTAGAACCTCATTTGCCAGTAAAAAAATATGATAATTGGTTTTTTTACCATTCTATCTGGCAACAAAACTGACACTTTTTTTTTACAAGGAGTCATGTTTGCATAGACCACAATACCTGCAGTCATAATGCAAACAAAAAACACAACTCTGATAATGCATGCATTGTCCTTGAAGTTGATTGGTCCACACCCGAGACAGCTTTCCTTAGAGCCTAGTCTCACATGGTGTTGGACCAGATGACGCCAAAAGGCGCACACCTCAAAGACAATGCACCATGACAGTATGAGAGCTCGGGGTAAGCATTTACACCATCATACTCTGATGGTGCATTGTCTTTGAGTTGTGTGCCTTTTGGCGTCATCTGGTGCAACACCATGTGAGACTAGGCTCTAAGAAAACCTGTCTCGGGTGTGGACCAATCAACTTCAAAGACAGTGCATACATTATCAGAGTTGTGTTTTTTATGACTGCAGGTATTGTGGTCAATGCAAACATGACTCCTTGTAAAAAAGGTGTCAGTTTTGTTGCCAGATAGAAGGGTAGAAAACCAATTATCATATCACAAACTTGTTCTTCTGTGTGTGTATATTTTTTATATCGGTCTACACCACTCATGCAGTGATTGCCACGATCTCATAAGCTTTACAATACAAAAAAAAACAAATCTTGTTGCTGTGTACAGTTTTCTTCGGATTATAAAACGCACATTGCCTCTGTGTTTTCAGGAAAGAGTCAGGGAGTTGCGATTTTTGGTTGTCTGTGTGTGTGGGATCATTTTTGGATGACTTTATTGAGGCTGGCAACTCGTGATGGATATGCGTCTTATAATCCGGTGTGTTTGCATGTGTGTGGGACCAGGTTTGGATGATTTATTGATACTGGCAACTCGTGATGGATATGCGTCTTTTAATCCGTTTTTTGGTTGTCTGTGTGTGTGGGACCATTTTGGGATGACTTAATTGATAGTGGCAACTTGTGAGGGATATGCGTCTTATAATCAGGTTTGTCTGTGTGTCTGCGGGACCAGGTTTGGATAACCTCATTGATACTGGCAACTCATGATGGTTCTAGATGTGAAGCTTTCGTGACTGCAAGGATTCATATTCTTAGGGTTTTTTCGGTAAAGTCACGTAGGTAAAAATTTTAAATGAAAAAAATAAAAGTAAAATAAAAATAAAATAAAAATCACGACGTTTCGGAGGCAACACAAGCTTCCGTCTTCAGGTGAAACCGTCACAGCACGACAGCTGTATCTTACTTAAAAAATATATTTGTACAGCTATCGTGCTGTGACGGTTCCACCTGAAGACGGAAGCTTGTGTTGCCTCCGAAACGTCGTGATTTTTATTTTATTTTTATTTTACTTTTTTAAATTTTCATTTTCTACCTACGTGACTTTACCGAAAAAACCTAAGAATATAACTCATGATGGATATGCGTCTTATAATCCGTTTTTTTTTGTTTGTCTCTCTGTGTGTGTGAGACCAGGTTGGCCTAACTTTAGCGTACTACTCGTCTGTTATATGCGTCTTATAATCCGGCGTTTTTCTCTTTTAATTGGGACAATGTTGGGCTAACTTTAACTTTAACTGACTACTCGTCTGTTATATGCGTCTTATAATCCGGCGGGACAATGTTGGGATAACTTTATGTATCGATCCTGGCTTCTCTTTAGGGACGTGCGTCTTATAATCCGGAAATCCCGGTCAACATTATCTGCTGCTGTAAGCAATCGAATGCACCACGCTGGATGGTTTGTCAAGGTCTTGCCGTGCATTAATAAAACAATAATATTCGTTGCGTAGTTAAGATTAATTTATTTGGAAAGCTAAATGCGTAACTATGGCCGCCTCGCGTTGCCCTGGTAACGCGCCCTAGCAACCAAGCCCGCCCCGTCTACAATTCCCACCGCGGATAGGCGAGGGCCGACTCGCCCTACGTCGCGCTCCATTGGTCGCGCGCGCGCACGTGGTCGGGCGATGCCGCTCGCCCATTGGTTGGGAGCGTCGGGTCGAGCGCATGCGCTCTATGGATTTAGCTACCATGGCGGAGCGAGTACAGGGCGGGCCGCTAGTCTTACCGTCGCGTTGGTGATGTTCGTGCAAATGTATTTTTATGATTAGAAACAAATACGGGAATCAAAATGTGATATTAATGCTCGTGTGTATCAAAAGACGACGACGAGGGACCAAGCGTGCGCCGTCAAGAGCTCTCGACGGCTGAACGGGAGATATCTTGCACCGCGTTACAGGTGAGGCCTGCACCCGGCCTATGCGAGTCTTAGCGACGACAATGTTTGTTCGTCTAAAAACGTTCTGTTTATTGAGCAAATTATTATTGTTATTACGTATTTATTTGTATTGCTATCGAGGGGTGGGCGTCGCGGTTAGCGCATTGCGCTACGGACTCCTGAAGCCGTCTCCCTTCAATTGCATTCGCGTGCCAGTTGTCACTTCTGTGGCCAGTGGTGAAATCTGTGGCCAGTGGTGAAATCTGTGGCCAGTGGTGGCATCTGTGGCCAGTGGTGACATCTGTGGCCAGTTGTGACATCTTTGGCCAGTCGTGACATCTGTGGCTAGTGGTGACATCTGTGGCCAGTGGTGACATCTATGGCCAGTGGTGACATCTATGGCCAGTGGTGACATCTGTGGCCAGTGGTGAAATCTGTGGCCAGTGGTGACATCTGTGGCCAGTGGTGACATCTGTGGCCAGTGGTGAAATCTGTGGCCAGTGGTGACATCTATGGCCAGTGGTGACATCTGTGGCCAGTGGTGAAATCTGTGGCCAGTGGTGAAATCTGTGGCCAGTGGTGAAATCTGTGGCCAGTGGTGGCATCTGTGGCCAGTGGTGACATCTGTGGCCAGTTGTGACATCTTTGGCCAGTCGTGACATCTGTGGCTAGTGGTGACATCTGTGGCCAGTGGTGACATCTATGGCCAGTGGTGACATCTATGGCCAGTGGTGACATCTGTGGCCAGTGGTGAAATCTGTGGCCAGTGGTGACATCTGTGGCCAGTGGTGACATCTGTGGCCAGTGGTGAAATCTGTGGCCAGTGGTGACATCTATGGCCAGTGGTGACATCTGTGGCCAGTGGTGAAATCTGTGGCCAGTGGTGAAATCTGTGGCCAGTGGTGACATCTATGGCCAGTCGTGACATCTATGGCCAGTCGTGACATCTGTGGCCAGTGGTGACGACATCTGTGGCCAGTGGTGACGACATCTGTGGCCAGTGATGGCATCTGTGGCTAGTGGTGGCATCTGTGGCTAGTGGTGGCATCTGTGGCCAGTGGTGACGACATCTGTGACCAGTGGTGACATCTGTGGCCAGTCGTGACATCTGTGGCCAGTGGTGAAATCTGTGGCCAGTCGTGTCATCTGTGGCCAGTGGTGACATCTGTGGCCAGTGGTGACATCTGTGGCCAGTCGTGACATCTGTGGCTAGTGGTGACATCCGTGGCCAGTGGTGGCATCTGTGGCCAGTGGTGACATCTGTGGCTAGTGGTGACATCTTTGGCCAGTCGTGAAATCTGTGGCCAGTCGTGACATCTGTGGCCAGTGGTGACATCTTTGGCCAGTCGTGAAATCTGTGGCCAGTTGTCACATCTGTGGCCAGTGGTGACATCTGTGGCCAGTGGTGACAACATCTGTGGCCAGTCGTGACATCTGTGGCCAGTGGTGACATCTGTGGCCAGTGGTGACATCTGTGGCTAGTGGTGACATCTGTGGCCAGTGGTGGCATCTGTGGCCAGTGGTGACATCTGTGGCCAGTGGTGTCATCTGTGGCCAGTGGTGTCATCTGTGGCCAGTGGTGACATCTGTGGCCAGTGGTGACATCTGTGGCTAGTCGTGACATCTGTGGCTAGTCGTGACATCTGTGGCCAGTGGTGGCATTTGTGGCCAGTGGTGACATCTGTGGCCAGTGGTGACATCTGTGGCCAGTGATGACATCTGTGGGCAGTGATGACATCTGTGGGCAGTCGTGACATCTGTGGCTAGTGGTGTCATCTGTGGTCAGTGGTGACATCTGTGGGCAGTCGTGACATCTGTGGCCAGTGGTGTCATCTGTGGCCAGTGGTGACATCTGTGCCTAGTGGTGTCATCTGTGGCCAGTTGTGACATCTGTGGGCAGTCGTGACATCTGTGGCTAGTGGTGTCATCTGTGGCCAGTGGTGACAGCTGTAGCCAGTGGTGTCTCGCACCGGTCTTAGGCCTCCCCGCCCCTCCCCCATCGGCACTCTCTGCATGCCAACACAGCGGTGACCAACGTGGTGAAGTATGGTTAAATGTTAAATATTAACCGACCCACGAGCGGCTAAGGGCGTGGGCAAAGCCCCTCCGTTAAGCGGTGGGTTGACAAAGGGAAGAGATGAGGGGGTGGGTGGCTGTGATTTTCGCAATGCGTTGTTCAAGTAAAAGGAGGTCTTCGTTTCAATCGAGCCGATACTTATCGAATTGCCGCTGCTGATCGAATTGGGAGGACGCGAAAGCGATTGGGGTTGCAGATGAGACTCGAATGAACGCATGTAAGAGACGTTTTAAGCTTGTCTTTAGTCATGTATTGGTGGTTAAGTTTTTCTTTATTTGAAGGTGGAGTAGTCGCATCGTATTGCTTGCACCAGTCTAATTTAGCATTGGTCTATATCTCGTCGTCATTAAGCGCATTGTGAATGCAAATTAATGTCGCGATGTCATTCGTGACTTGATTTACGAATCGATTGAAGCATCGGGTTTGCTTTAGTTGGAACTTGGTATCGGGGCTGTCTCTCGCTCGCTCGCCTCCGCTGTTTCCCCCACCTCCCGTCGTCGTCCCACGTGCTGTACGACAGAATCTCGGTGCAGTTATCTTCTGTTAAGTTTGTCTGTACTGACAGCCTAACTCTCGATTGCCTGCCGCGTTTGTGTTCTGAACATCGCCCACAAGCGTCAACCCAGAAGGCCTTTCCCCTCACTGGACGCCTGGTGAACAAGAGCTTAGTATCGATTTAAAGCTTTCGTGACTGCAGGGATTCATCTTCTTGGTTTTGAACTTTGTCTTATCGAGTCTGAACTCTGTCTTATCGACAGACCTGTTCTTCACCTGAGAACGGCTGCTTGCGTTGTGGCCGAAACGTCGTGAGAATTATTTTATTATGTTTTATTTTTATTATTTTATTATTTCCATTCTACGTGACTTTACCGAAAGAACCAAGAAGAAGAGCTTAGTAGCTCACCAGGATAAATAAAGATTCTGACTCTAACGGTCGATGGGCACGATGGGTGCGTGAATTCTGAATGATTCATACGCTGTATTCGATGAGCTTGTAATCGCTAACATCAACGGTTGTTAGCTAATGCAAGGGCGTCATTGGGGGTGACTCAATGCAGTCGAGACGCGCGACACGCCTGCTGACTTGGCGAGAGACATTCTGATGGTCACTGACAGCTACGCCCATCGACAGGGGATATGATGTGTGATTTATATACGGTGGCAGTGTAATAATGTAATGCACTATCCAGGATAATATATGAAGGGAAAAAAACACATTTAATATCATGGGGGTTTTGTGTTTGTCATTTTGTGATCGGAGTTGAGATCATGGGTTCACTTATTACACCTTAACATACTGTCAGCCCCTTATCAGTGCCCTACCTTTTTGCAGACCGATTCAGACCTTATTGGTCACCCCGTGCCCTTATAAATGTCATCGTTCATCCTACAAAGTCCCATCACAAGGGGCAAACACAAACAAATACACAATTTTTTTGCCCGGATTGAAACGGGCTGTACGCCGTATGGATCTGAAAACTTAAGTTCCCGGTACAAGGATACGGGTAAACCGTATGGGTTGACAGATATGCCGTAACAACTCCGTTTAAACCACGGGCGGCTACCTACATTCTAACGCCATCATCTCGTCACCCTCGGCTCAGCTCTCCCGACTTCTTCTAGCGTATGGCAGCTACAGTGCGTGTAAATTATACGTCCCAAGTTTTAAGTTTGCGAGCCACGCGATAGCTTCGGGATTATCGCGACAAATACAGTGCAGTCCAGTCCGCCGGAGAGCGGGCGTAGTTGTTTGACGTTAAGGTCCCACTGCCTTGACCTCTGAACCACCACCTCTTACGGGTGTTGAATTTAAATACGTGCGTTGGTGTTTGAACTAGACTTAAATAATGTACAGTACTCGCAAAATAATTCAAGCGTATGTCCATACATGAACGTGGAATTGGTGGCGCCTGATACATTTTTTTTGTCTGCATTGATTGATTAGCACGGTTGGCTACGTAAGGTGCGAAAGAAGTTCAACATACATACATTGAGATCCATAATGGAAGTTTTTTTTGGGTTAGATCGCGTAAATATATACATGTGTCGTTAAACCCGCCACCGCCCGACACAGCCAACTAGTAAGGATTGTCACGTGAACAGAACGTGCCAATTCGTCACGAGTACAGCACATCGGTGTGTTGGGGAGCCAAGCCACAACATTTACAATGCATTGAGATGTTTGGCCAATAGCTATTTAAAATAAATCCAGAGTTTTGCTGCAGGTGCAAGAAAACTGTAGAATCTGTAGAAAACCCACACTCACTCTGGGATAACACTGCCACCTCCACCTCGCATCCTAGCAGGGTTGGGAGTCTCCCAAGACAATTATGGAAATTCCACGTTCCTTTTACGGGGTGATTCATATTTTTCACAGGATGTGTATTGTTGATGCCTTGTGATTGATAAATGTGCATATGTATCGTTGAATATGTTATGAATTTGTATATGCATGTTTTCATTAATATCGTGCGTATATTTAATTTACATAGAAACATTAAATGCTCTACTCTCCTCTATGCACTCTCCGTTCCAGCAGCCAAGGCTTTGAAACCTCTCAACATTCACTCAGTGGAAGGTCGATCAATATCATCTGCTTTTTTTATTGCCTGGAACTCAGTACTCTTGATTGCCTGGTTAAGCCAAGGCATAAAAAATAATTTCTTTCTTGCCCACTTTGTCTGTACATTATCTTGAAATGCAGTTGCATTTAGATGTTGTACAAATCCAAGTTGTATTGCATTGAGTATTGCAGAGACCAACTGTTCATACAGCACCCATTATTCGAGAAATAAACAGACTTCCGTGTGTCTCTGCGCTTAATTTTTAAAAATATTTTTAATCCGATCAGCCGATAGTCAGTGGGTGTGGTCATCTTTGAAGATGATGTCAGTCATGTACAGTGGAGATGATGTCAGGCGTGTATTGTTAATGTACAGTTGAAGGTCGATTTATTCCACTCAGAATTTCTAATAAGTGCCGTACTTTCTTTTGCAGACTGGAGTTGCTCACCCTGCCATCGCCAGGCCACCAGCAGCGTGGCCTCAACCGACCCCACCACCGCCACTCTTTCCTGACCTTTATCACTACCGCCACTACTGCCCAGTCTTTACAACCACCACTGCCTCAATCCCTTAACTCTGTCACAACCACCAGCATAACACCACAACGACCACCACCTTTCCTCGCCCACGAGAATCTCCCATCACCTCACCTGAAGTGACCTTTCTCTCCACCACTGCTACCACCACCACAATTGTATTTCCTCTCTCACCACAACCACATCCCCTGTCCTTGCTTTTCCCAATACATCCATTCTCCTTCTTTTCTCCACCTCTCTGTTCCACCACTACCACCTCAACTGCCTTCCGGTACCACCCCCTCCATCACTTCGACCATCTTCTGTCTTTCACCTCAGTACCACCCTCTACCAGCAGCAGCAGCAGCAGCACCACCACTGTGATCTATCTTCTCCCTTGCTACCTCCCACTCCCACCCTCCTCCCTCTCCACACTACCTGGCGGCCATGTCTCGCGCCAAGAGCGCCGAGACGGTGCGCGTGGTGGTGCGGTGCCGCCCGATGAACCCGCGCGAGTCGGCGGCATCGTACGAGAGCGTCATCACCATCGACGTACGCGCCGGGCAGGTGGCGATCCGCAACCCGCGTGCCAACGCCGACCCAGTGCGCACGTTCACGTTCGACGCGGTGTACGGCGGCGATGCCAAGCAGCTGGACATCTATGAGGAGAGCTTCCGGCCACTCGTCGACTCGGTGCTGTGCGGGTTCAATGGCACCATCTTCGCGTACGGGCAGACGGGCACCGGCAAGACCTATACGATGGAGGGCGTGCGCTCCGACCCAGAGCGCCGAGGCGTCATCCCCAACTCCTTCGAGCACATCTTCACACACATCTCCCGCTCGCAGAACCAACAGTACCTGGTACGTGAGAGAGGGGGCGCCAGTAACTACGGCGGCGGTGGTGGTGAGAGGAAAGGTGGTGGTGGTGGCGGTGGGAGAGGGAACGTGGTGGTTGTTGTGGTGATGGTGGTGGAGGGGGATAGGTGGTGATGGCGGTGCCGAGAGGGAGGGTAGTATTTGGAGAAGGGAGGGTGGTAGAGGTAGTGATGGTGGTGGTGGCAGATGTAAAGTGGTTGAGGAGGTTTTGATTGTTTCCCTGGAGGTGGTGAAAAAAGTTGTATCTATGCCAACGTTTCGGGCAACCAATCTGTATCTAGGCTTGTCAGTCATCATGGCTCTGTTAACCTGTCTGTGCGTCAGCCTACCAGTCTGAGTTTATAATATTTAACCCCACCCGCACTGGCACCTCCCTGTGCTCCCCCGACAGGTGCGCGCCTCCTACCTGGAGATCTACCAGGAGGAGATCCGCGACCTACTCTCCCGCGACCAGTCACGGCGGCTGGAGCTGCGCGAGCGCCCCGACACGGGCATCCACGTCAAGGACCTGTCGTCCTTCGTGACGAAGAGCGCGCGGGAGATTGAGCACGTGATGGGCATCGGCAACCAGAACCGCTCGGTGGGCGCCACCAACATGAACGAGCACAGCTCGCGCTCGCACGCCATCTTTGTCATCACGGTGGAGTGCAGCGAGCTGGGCGCCGACGGCGAGAGCCACATCCGCGTCGGCAAGCTGAACCTCGTCGACTTGGCCGGCAGCGAACGGCAGGCGAAGACGGGGGCGCAGGGCGAGCGGCTCAAGGAGGCGACCAAGATCAACCTGTCGCTGTCGGCGTTGGGCAACGTCATCTCGGCGCTGGTGGACGGCAAGAGCACTCACGTGCCGTACCGCGACTCGAAGCTCACACGCCTCCTGCAGGACTCGCTGGGCGGGAACGCGCGCACTGTCATGGTGGCCAACGTGGGGCCCGCGTCGTACAACTACGACGAGTCGCTCACCACGCTGCGCTACGCCAACCGCGCCAAGAACATTCGCAACCGCCCACGCGTCAACGAGGACCCCAAGGACGCGCTGCTGCGCGAGTTCCAGGAGGAGATCGCGAGACTCAAGGAGCAGCTGGAGAAACGGGGGGGCGTCGGCGGAGGAGGAGGAGGAGGTGGAGGAGTCGGGGTGGGCGGTGGCGGCGGCGGAAAGAAGAAGAGGAGGGGAGGGAGGAAGAGACCCGGGGAAGGGCCCGATGATGGCGAGGAGGATGATGATGATGATGAGGTGGCGGAGGTGAGGCCGGTGGCTTGCGGTGCGCTTGTTTTGCCGTCGCTTTCCGCTTCAGGTGGTGGACGTTTGTTCAAGGTGGCACTTTTGAGAAAACATTTAAAGTCAAAGTTTGTTCTCATCCTTGTATCTTTCTTTTATCCGTGCCCCCTGAATTGACCTGCAGAAAATCCCGTACTTCCTCAGCGGCGCTTCATATTTATTCATGCTTATCCACACACAGGGTGGAACGGTGGCACAGCAGTTAGTGGACTGCGCTACATATGTGGTCACCTCAGTTTGATTCCTGGCCACCAACCTGCACCATCCAACGTGGTGAAATATGGTTAAACAATCCCCACGATCGATAAGGCCTCTATCCAGTGAGATATATTGACGAAGGGCTCTATATTGTTAATTATGATGTATATCACGATGAGCCCAGTATAAAGTTATACTTATCCTCAAGTCTCAACTCTTGCTCAGATGGCTCATATGTTGAGATGTTTGTCCAAAACCCACAAATACACACGGGGATCACAAATCCCCACTGAAGGCACTGTAGTGCACCGCAGTGTTTAACAGAAGTGTTTCTTACCTGTAAAAGTAACTTTTTGTCTGTCTGTGTGTGGACGCCTGTCCTTGTAACACTTTCAACTGACAAACTGTTGGGTTTACGTTTCAACAGAGTACACGGACACAACAAACTAAGACCCCCCCCCCCCCCCCAAGAAAACTCGTTATTTGTTTTTGCCCTTGGTCCAATCTAACCTAAGAAAAATCACACTTTGTAACAATGTACGCTGATCATAATGATAACTTTGGCGGCCAAAGCACGCATCTGCGCATGTGCCAACTCGCGGTTGCCCCTAGCAACGCAAACAAGCTTGCTTAGTGGAGATGGGAGGGAGGTTTTTCTTGGCGTTAAAAATTACAAAAATAAAAAAAACATAGTTACTGCTGCAGAAGAACACGCTGAGGTAAATCCTGAACAGCGTGATGTCCCCTTCTCCCCCCTCACCCCAATGTGTGCAGTTACTACTATAGTCCGTAGATACTACTGTAGTGAGTTCAACTGAGTCGCAGACGTACTCTTTGGAGGCAACACATTTATTAACACCACCACATGGGGTAACTGCCCCTTAACAGAACAACAACCTATGGTAGTGACCACCAGGCTAACCACTAATTACACCACAACTAGCTACAACGGACCGGACCACAGCTTGGGCCCAGGTCCACTTGTTGGAGACCCTTGTAGGACGTAGAACGTAGATTCTTCAGGATGATGAATAACAGTGCCGGTCCCTCTGGGGGACCCGGCTTCTATCCTCTGCGGCGTGGCTGGCTCCGCCCTTGGCCACGACCACCTTCTAGAATCCTCCAGCAGGATCTCGACCCTGACACGTGACCACCCCTAGCCCCCACTTGGGGCCCCTGTGCAGACTTAACTGGTCACGTGTCGTCTGGGGTCAACCAGAGTGCCACGGCCTTTAGTAACCCTATTTCCCTGGCTGGCACTCCCACACCATATCCTGTATGGGTCGGCACTGCACACAGAGCGTGGTGCCATCCAGCGCCTATCGATCAGCGCTCACGGAGCTCCTCTAGGGCCGGTACTGCATCCACATGTAAGTGGTGTCCGCGATGACAATTCATCGCACGCCGTGCCTCTCTCGGGCCAACATTATGCAGTGACATCCCGCGATGTCACTCCACTACTATAGAGTCAATAGATACTACTATAGATTCAGTAGATAAGACTATAGTCAGTAGATACTACTATAGAGTCAGTAGTTCCTGCTATAGTTAGTAGATACTACTATAGAGTCAGTAAATACTACTATAGTCATTATATAGTACTGTGGAGTCCGTAGATACTACTTATTTTTTATGTAGGGTGTGTAGATATATATGCCTGCAAAATAAATAAAAATTGGGTGGGGGGGGGTCAACAACATTTGGAAACCTTTTAGATCAAAGTTTTACCCCCACTTTCTATCATTTTTGATTCAGGACTTCTGACAGGCTCTTATAATTTTGTTGGCGGACAAATGGACAAACGGAACGCCGGGCTTTCATTATAGCTGAGTATTTGTGTATGTATATGTTATGTTACAGGTAGGAACAACAGTTCCACACTGCCCACCAGGGATTATTTGTCTGTCTGTCGTGCATAGCCACGCCCTCGATTTGTATTTCATAGAGCGCTTCGGGCGGGCTCCGCACCACGTGACGCGCCGCCCCACGCAGCTTGCGCCGCGTGACACGGATCACACGAATGCGCTGTCCAACCAAGTTCCTACCTGCCCACTCCGAAGGAACGTGTTTTTTAAGAGAAGACAAGTTTTGAAATATATATATATTTCCCCCCCCGGGCAAAGCCGGGTACTTTCTGCTAGTCTTCAATAAAATTCTAACCATGGAAGAACCGCATTGTAGCGAAAAACGCATTATCGCCACGCGTTAAGCATTTGGCATCCTCAAGCGCCACATCCATTCTCGCTGACCCCCGTGCCTAACCCGAGCACCGCTCGCTGTCGTGTGCAGGTGAGCGAGCAGGACGAGGAGCAGCGCCTGGTGGAGCGCCGCCAGCAGCTGGAGCGTGAGAGGCAGAGCATCCTGGACGACCAGAGCCTGCTGGCCGGGGAGCGCGAGCGACTCATCCGCGACACCGAGCTCAAGATGGACGACCTCAAGCACCAGCAGGATGCGCGGGACTCACTCGCCACTAAGATCAAGGTGTCTCGTCCTCGTCGATGTCATCGTCGTCATCATCATCGTAATCATCATCGTTACCTTCAAGCCATTGTATATCCACTGCTGGGTGCATTCACTGTCTCTCAGCACCCGTGCTGCACTCAGGTGTAGGTGTGAGATGAATGGTAGTTCATTACAGGTAGTCCCCGACTTACTATGGTCCGACTTACGATATTTCGATCTTACGATGGCGATAGCGATGATAAAATTGTAAAATATTTTACATTTCGCGCGGCAGGCAAACGCAGCAGCGTATGAGGTACGATACTGTACGTTGGGACGCTGCCGGGATGTACTGTACGCATCTCTCGCCTTGTGTGATGCCTCGCTCTCACCAGTGGTCGACGGAGTTAAGTTGTCTCGGTGTTAAAAGTTTTTATAGCAGATAGGATTGTTTCCTGATATAACTTTCTATGAAATTGCAGTTCATATAGGTATGCTAAGAATTCACCTTGTTTTTTTTACTAAAAATTTTACTGTGCAATACAGTATTGTAATTAATAAATACATACAGTATATAGTTTATACAGTACGGTACTGTAAATTGCTCTGTTTTGCTAAATGATCACTCCTGGGTAGGCTAGGCCATTTTCGACTTACGATATCTTCGACTTACGATATTTTCGACTTACAATGGGGTCGTTGTAACGCATCTCCATCGTTAGTCGGGGACTACCTGTACTTAATTGGGCAAGCCACCTAGCAACACTGCCCCCTGTTGGCAGACGGATACTTACTAGTCAGTGCTGTGTAAACCTTGTGCCTTTTAGGGACAGCTGCCACCGGGGGCTGTGCCCTGCCACAGGACGCCTTTGGATATCCTGAATGAGTAGTACGTTTATAAATATTAAGTGATGATGGTTGTCGGAGCACTGGGCCGGCACTGCTGGAAGTTCTGGGTTCAAGCCCTGGGTTTGGCTGTCTGGCTCAAAATCTCTCAAGGGAGTGGCTTCATAATGGTGCTGGTCACATGATGCACAAGTGTCTCACGTGTGTCTGGTTATGTATCCGTATGTATGTGAGTGCCCGTTTGTGTACGAATCTGTGTATAAGCTGATGTGCTTTCGATTTAAAGCTTTCGTGACTGCAGGGATTCATCTTCTTGGTTCTTTCAGTAAAGTTACGTAGAAGGGAAATAATAAAATAATACAAATACAACATAATAAAATAGAATAATTCTCACGACGTTTCGGCCACAACGCAAGCAGCCGTCCTCAGGTGAAGAACAGGTCTGTCGGGAAGACAGCTATAAACTAAAACTAAACTATCTTGTCTTTCCGACAAACCTGTTCTTCACCTGAGGACGGCTGCTTGTGTTGTGGCCGAAACGTCGTGAGAATTATTGTATTTTATTATGTTTTATTTGTATTATTTTATTATTTCTCTTCTACGTGACTTTACCGAAAGAACCAAGAAGAAGCTGATGTGCGTTATGGCCTTTATGTTTAAACGAGGGATCTGTGTGTGTGTGTGTGTGGGCACAGGCGATGGAGAGTAAACTGCTGGTCGGCGGGAAGAACATTGTGGACCGGACAAATGAGCAGCAGAAGGTTTTGGAACAGCGCAGGCAGGAGATAGCTGAGCAGGTGGGTGCTGCGCTAGTGTCCAGTGGCAGTTCGTAGCTCCGGTTTGAGGTGGCAGCAAAGCCCAGCTTGGGTTTCCCAGTCTCGGGGTGATGATGGGTCATGCAGGGGCGACGCGGTGGCGAGATATGAACTCCCTCGCCTGGTATGCAGGAAGTCGTGGGTTCGATCCGACCCTGTCGCCTGCTGTATATTTGGAGTTTGTATGATCTCCCTGTGGTCACGTGGATTTTTCTCCGGGTCTTCCGGTTTATCTCTCCACGTTTTTGGCTACTATAAATTTCCACGTGATAAGCCGCTTTGTTGAGCTCTCATTTGTAGTCATGTCGCTTCCGAAAAAGAGCTATATAGCTCAGTGGGCCTTACCTGGTAATTTAAAGATAGTTTAGTTTTAGTTTATAATAATTGGAACTCACAGGCAACCTGTGGTGATGATGCTGAGCAACAGCTGTGCTCCGACCAGACCAGCCCTGGAAAACTGCGTGTGCTGTCCGCATATAGATGGCGTCAATGATGATGAAACCACTGGCAACGCATGCTAATTTTTTACACCCATACATCCACATTATTGTGGATGTGATGATCATTTTGATATAATTTTTTTATTCCTATTGTGCCGCTTAAATTACTGCAGGATTCACGACATTGCTCAGAAATAAATTCTTGAATCAAAAACATGACCGTGGAATTGTGACAATCTATCGTATCGCGAGGCGGGGGAGCATGGGAAATAGTCACGTGACAATTGTGTTAAATTGCTAAGCAAGTAACATTCATGTTAGTGTGACAGCATCGTTGCATTGCCATACAGGTTCACAGCTGCTTTGTTACGTTACACGGTTACAGCATACTGCTGTGTTGCAGCATGTGTTGCTTCACACGCGACAGTGACGTCACCACGTCACGTGGTGTGACTGTGGCTGTGCTACCTTGTGTCGCTCAGTCTCGGCGCGAGCGGGAAATCCAGCAGAAGATGGAGGCTCGTGACGAGGAGACGCTGGAGCTCCGGGAGACGTTTACCACGCTGCAGCAGGAGGTCGAGATGAAGACCAAGAAGTTAAAAAAGGTGCCACCATCACAATTCTGTACAGGGTTCGCCTTGATTAGAGTTCATCAGCACAGCATGGGCCCTGCCACTTGACAAGACAAATCGGTACACGTTCTACCGTTATTTACGATCGCCGGTATGTATATAGGTATGTTAAAATTCATATGCACCGTACGTAGCCAACTGTAGTAATCGGAGGTGCAGGGCAAGGACAACAAACAATAGAAAAAGCTGTTGTAAAGAAATTAGATTTCAATCAAAATGTAAACGTTCATATTTTCGACATAACAACCCTGTGAAGATTAGAGTTCATCAGCAGAGGGTGAATAGCGGTGTACAGGTTGCGCCTGTGTTTTCAATCATCGACACAGTTTAAATGCAACAACTCGTACAAGTCTCACCTTGATTAGAATTAATCAGCATAGGAATGGATATCCCTGCCATTTCACGTGACAAATCTGAACGTGATTCTTTCTGTACGCATGATCATCTGTGCAGTATAGCCAAAGCGAGTCGGTGAAGGTTTCACCTTGAATTAGAGCTCCTCAGGACACCGTGGTTAATTCTGCCACTCCACACGCTGCCGCCACGCAAGCCTCACACTTGTTGGGGATCGTCAGTATCATTGCCACCCCCCCCCTCCTTCTTCTCTTCCCAGCTGTTTGCGAAGCTGCAGGCCATTAAGTCGGAGATCACCGACCTGCAGGATGAGCACAGCAAGGAGCGGCAGGAGCAAGAGCAGTCTCAGAACGAGTTCACGCGGGAACTTAAGCTCAAGTGGGTCTCATCATCGTCTTCATCTCTTCACCTATTAAACTATTTTAAACTATTTTACCTGGTAAGGCCCACTGAGCTATATTGCACTTTTTCAGAAGCGACTTGGCCACAAATTATAGCTTATCATGTGGGTATGTATTGTAGCCAAAAACTCTACATGCATGTTTCTAAATGTGGAGTGAAAAATTGGAGGATCCGGAGAAAAATGTGCACGACCATAGAGAGAGTGACACGCAAATTCCAAATATACAGGCGTCAGGGTCGGGATCGATCCCACCACCACCATGGCGAGATCTCACGTGATCCATTCTTGTGATCCATGAGATCCATCTCACCATCACTGTGTCTGTGCTGCAACATCTGCTTCCCTTCCCTGTTTTCAGAGTTCAATGTTCAGATCCGTACGTCTTATTAATGTCTCGGCGGTAGAGCCATTATCCCTCCAGGATCCCTCCAGCGATGATAAAATGAATACCACTTTGTGGGGATGTCAATATTGGTTGTTCTATGGATAGACTCGCCCCTGCCATCAGAGTGGGGAATTTTCACTGCTCGATGCTCATATGAGCAGGAGATCATTTGAATATTCCTTTAAAACTATATTCGTGAGATGATGGATGATGGTCAAGAATAATAACATTGGCAGCCAAGGAATTAAATATGTTCAAGAGGACATCCACCAAGGAGATGGAGTGATGGATTAAGTCCGTATGCAGCTGCCGGATGGATTGTTGCATCGCATGATTGTGGGAGGTGACGGTGTTGTTGGGGAGGGCTTCATGGCTGATGATTTTACTTACGACTTTATTGTGAACAAAACAGATGGCAGCATCGCCCCCTCCTGGCAGGCTATACTATGTGCATATACGAAATGTATTCATTACAATTGTAGTAAGAGGAGAGAAGGGGAATCAATGCAATCGTTCGAGGAGGGGTATTTGTTTTATGATGATTAACATTTTGCTTGTTTACCAAAGAAAGCCTCGCTGAGTCTCCAGAGGGTCCTACCAAGTTTTTGCAGTGGGGGGACCCAGGGCATGTTGCAGTGTGTGCGATCCAAATTGCGGGTAACCTTTCAGCATTGGGAAGTTTTGGCCAACACCAATTACATTGTGTGTGTGTGTGTTTTAAAGCTATAAAAGGGAGAAACTAGCAGCCAAATACTGAAAACGCATGTTGATTCTAAATACGGAGGATAAAACTGGAGGACCCGGAGAAAAATCCACGTGACCACGGGAAGAACATGCAAATTGCAACTATACAGGAGTTATGATCGGGGTCGAACCCACAACCTCCTGCATACCAGGCAAGGTAGTTAACATCTTGCCACTGCGGCAGACTTGCAAAGAGCTTCTTAGCTGAATGGGCTTTACTCGGAAAATAAACTTCCGAACTTTTGATGAGTATCCCGAGTCAGGGATCGAGCCCAGGATCTTGTTGCTGCGTGACACAGGAGTCGCCTCTGCGAATCGTTACGTGACCGAGTTTTCTGCCGTGCCTCAGGTGTCTCATCATCGAGAACTTCATCCCTCCCGAGGAGAAGACGAAACTGATGAAGAGGGTTTTCTTCGATGAGGATGAAGAGCAGTGGAAACTGCAGCCGCTGATTCGCTCGCAGGGGTGAGGCACGCGCACAGGAAGCCACGCACACAAAGACAAAGATTCCCTGTATAGCCTTAACATAATGTAGGGGTAAGTGCTGTTAGCGAGCACCCTCGCGTGCCGGCACGTGAGGGTGGGTGGCCAGTACCACACACGCCTTTGTCTCCGTAGTGGCGATGTTTACACATTGCACGCACCCAGGACTCATTTGAGGCGGAGACTCAGAACCTGTTTAGATAATCGTCACTGTTGTTGGTGACAGTGACCAAGAATTGCCTGGTTTGTAGTGCAGCATGCTAACCACTGCGCCACACATACACGCGTGCATGCACAGACACACGTTTGTATTTGTTTATACGCGTATGGCAGACACTCGCATGCACGGTCCTCCTACGGCCTACACAAACACATGTAGCTACACACAGACACAGTGATGGCAATGTGGTGGTAGTTGTTACGGTGGAGTTAATGGTAGTGATGATAGCAATGGTGATGGTGGTGATATTGACGGCGATATGCTAATAGTGATGATGGTGGTGGTGTTGATGGTAATGTGATAATAGTGGTGATGGTGGTGTTGATCGTGGTGATCGTGATGATATGCGTACAGGGAGCAGCAGATGATGCAGCGGCCTGCATCAGCCGTCGGATATAAGAGACCCATTTCCCAGCATGCCCTGGACTCATCAGTCATCGTTCCAAACCCTCGTTACCGGGTATCTATGGCAACCGTGTGTGTGTGTCTGATGTGTCTGTGCGGGGAGCGGTAGCGTAGTGGATTCGTGCACTGCACTACGAACCCTGCTGCCCGAGATTGATTTCCAATCATGGCCAACATCAGTGGTGATTATCTAAACCAGTCCTGTACCTCTTCTAGGTCGATTTGGCCTTAAATGAGTGCCTGATACAGGGCGACAGTGCTTGGCTTAATTGATGCTTGCTATCAGCACTTGCTCCAACAGCCTGAGGCTGCATGGTGGATCTTTGTTGAGGCTTCGTGAGAGGTGTGGTTTTGTTTGCGGGGATCGGTGGCGCAGCAATTAGTGCACTTCACTGCGACGCCGACTAATCGAGTTCGATTCCCGCTCACGGCCAACACCAGTGAAAATTATCTGAACTGGTTCTGGGCCACCTCTACGTCAACTCGGCCTCAATTGAGTACCTGGTGCGGTGTGTATACATCGCCACTAGGGAGACAAAGGCCGCCTGGTGTGGTGCTGGCCACCCCACCCCGTCGTGTGCCGTGTCGCCCTTCATTGGTGCTTACTACAGCACTTGCCCCTACAATCTGTTAAGGCTATACAGGGGATATTTGTCTGTGTAACGTGTATGCCGGCTGACATTACAGAGCTGGCAACACAGCAGCCATTAGTGCTAAATAATCAGCACTGTCCTGCAAGTGGACATTAGTCTGACAATATCGCTATCGGTAAAGTTAGGCAAAATGTGGACCGTGACGCCACCATACACGGCCCACACTCTTTTAGCGAAAATTATTTTACGAGATCTTTAACATCCTCAGCAGAGACGGCGCGTAGTGTAGTACTTTACACGGAATAAACCAGGGTGGCCGTTGGGCTTTTGAAGGACTGCTTCATGACGTTATTTATTAAGGGCCACCGTCTCTTATTCGCGTGCATTGCGGCTCGTAAAATATCAAGTATTTGTTGTTACCAAATTTGAAAAAAATGGCTCTTGTCATGCGGTTTGCTGTCGCTCGGCCGTGTCACCACCCCCGCCCATCCCCCTTCACCCCCTCCCCCCTCGCTGCGCTGTCGTTGCCCGCCGCAGGCGGTGAACGTGGCGTCGCTGGAGCTGGACCCCCCTCACCGCACGACGCGCGACTACGAGGGCCCGGCCGTGGCGGCAAGCGTGCAAGCCGCGCTGGACGCCGCGCTGCTGCAGGAGGCCGACATCCACGTGGACGCCGGCGCCTCGTACGGCCTCGCCGACCTCGCCGGTGCCGCCACGGGCACCAGCGGCAGCGCTTCCTTGCGCAGGAGGGACCGGGCGAGGTGAGGCACCGGGCCGGCGTGCCCAGCATGAGATGAATTGGACGTCCTGTGTGAGAAAGATGCGAGGATCTGATTGGGACACCCTGCATTATGAGAAAGATGTGAGGCTCTTATTGAGACGCCCTGCATGGGAAAGATGTGACGCTCGGATTGAGACGTCCTGCATGATGAGATAGATTGGCGCTCTAATTCAGACACCTTGCATTAGTTGGATATAATGCTCTGATTGAGACACCTTGCATGAGATGGATATGATGCTCTGATTGAGATGCATGAGGTGGATATGAAAACCCTGTATAAGATAAATGAGTCACCTTGCATAAGATATATAATAGATGCCCTGCACAAGCTGCTACAAAGACCGATCAGATACAGAACCCCCGTGTCATCAGCTATAGAACTCTTATCTCTTCCCCTATTGACCCTCACTTCATCCCATACTGAAACCTCGTCGCATTAATCGTATTCTAGTCTTATTTCGGTGAACATTTGCTACTTCTGGTCAATTCGTACAACTAAAACCAATCAACCGTCCAAATTCCAGTTCAAAACGCCGCGTCAACGAATCACTTCACAAAACGCGCGCACGCCTCTCCTCATCAACGACGGCTACTTCTCCGTTTTTTACTGCAAACTATGACCTGGCCATCAGTCGCTCGCTCACGCGCGTGCAACGAGGCATTCAACATCTCTTACGGCTGTCATCGTTTTTTCTTACATTTTTCTTCGCTTTTGTGTTTTTTTTAGGCCCAAAACGGCGAAGAAATCTCCGTCTCCGAGCGGCCATCCTCCCCCCTCGCAGCTTTACCCACAACCCCGGGGGCTCGTGCCCAAATAAGGGCGTGCGTGCGGTCAAGTTATGGGGTCAAGCACAGGCAGGGAGAGAATAGAAATTTGACGGACTCTTGTCGACCTAACGTGTCTCCGCTCGCGCAGCCGAGGGTCGCCTTTACTTTTAACTTTGCTTTCACGCTTCTAATTGAACGTGAACCATGAAAAAGCTGTCAGGTGGCTGCGCGGGTGGCTCAGTTGGTCCATAATGGCTTTGTCGGGGGGGGGGGGGGGGGGGGTGGTAACTGAGCCGGCAATGCTGAGAGATCCTGGGACGCATCTCTGTCAGGGGGTGAGAGTGATTTTGGTCCGTAACGGTCACATTTCGATTATCAAGCTCGAGATACAGAGCATACGTAGAATCGCGTGTTCAAGAATCGATTGTACTTGAGTGCTTATGCGTTGTATGTAATGGGTTCGCATGACCCCCTGCAACCACTAGGGGTGAGGCAATGCACCACAGTGTTAAAAGAAAAATAATTGATTGTCAGGTTGAATTTGTGATCCTGAATTGTGACACTTAGTGGAATTTACATGTGGGGGTGAATTGTTACAACACCCCATTGAGCTGGCACCATTGAGATCCTGGGTGTGTGTGTCTATTTCTCACGGGATTCATCAGAATCTGAATATTTATACTGGAGGAATTCGATGAGCTATAAAGCTCTTTTTCACAGATGTCCAGTAGGAGCATGGGGCAAGAACTTTGAACAACCAACAATACAAAAATGGCCATGTCGGAGCCATTGAGTGGACCCACCACTGACATTGCGAGTTCAAATCTGGGTTTCTCGGCCACCCATGATTGCAGCACGCTCCTCGAGCATTAACGAGTCTGACTCAACCCAGTCCCCAATGACTGCACATACATACACACAAAAAAGAAAACCCTCAATCAGATTTAGCGTTTCACATACACCCGCCCAGCCCATGCGTCGAGGGGTTAAAATTTGTAAATATTTCTGATGGTAGACACGAGGCTTCCCCAACCGTTGTACTCACAAACACGCCTACCCCTACCGTAGCCTAATCTTAGCCGGAAATCTGAGCATTTGTCCTTTTAAGTCTTTGGAAACACTTTTGTCCATTCCGTGATGTCCACTATCATTTGTGGGATGGTCCTGGAAAGACTTGATAACCCACTCGAATATCATTGTTCAGAGAGTAGTTGAGCAGATTTGAGTGAGTGGATGATTACGTTCATCGTGAGGAGAGGATACAACAAAAACTATCGAAAGTGGATTGTAAAGTGTTCCAAAGAAGCCAGCATGGGTTGCCATCATAAATATCTCCAAGTGGGTTATCAATTTTCCATTTTTACAGTACATCCCTCATTTTAAGTAATCGTCTTTTTTAATTAGGCAAGCGGAATGCCCTTAACATCAGTCATCTTTTGCAATAACTGGACGTCAGGGACAACAGCGTGTACTTCCTTTTGTACGTTGGATAGTAATTTTTCGAATGACACTGGCGTGCGCTGGTCTGCGCGCGTGCGAGTAACTACGTCACAGGGTCTTTTGCAATTCCTTTTCATGGCAGCCGTCGCGCTGTGGTTATCAACTATTTCAGTCGCGCGGTAATAATACACCGAGGAGCAGTCGCGGGCCTTCTGAAACTGAAACAGTGCTCCGTTTTTATACCGGTACTACTTTTCCCTCATCAGCACTACTGCTGCCCTGCTTCGCAGCAGCTCCAGAGCGATAGCTCTCCGATGCGTTTTCGGGTTGTTCCCGCGCCGTTGTTCAGCGTAACGTCCAACGGTTCACTCCAGGTGCTGGGAGCTTCTGCAGGAACTCGATTCGGTGCCTAAACGGAAGGGATCTTAAATTTCGATTTAAAGCTTTCGTGACTGCAGGGATTCATCTTCTTGGTTCTTTCGGTAAAGTCACGTAGAAGGAAAATAATAAAGTAATAAAAAGTAATTATATTATTTTCTTATGTTTTATTTTTATTACTTTCCTTCTACGTGACTTTACCGAAAGAACCAAGAAGGAAGGGATCTTCCTGACAAAGCTCGAAGCAATTAGCTGAATTCAGTTCCCGAGGAAGCTCGCAGCACGTGGAGGGGAACGTCGGACGTCGTGCCAGACAACGTATGATGTTGCGGCCCAAAATCGCTCCGGAGAGTTGTGCAGCACAATTGCAAAAGCCTCCCGCTGTCGCAGTCCTGGAATTCCCTACTGCTGCCGCCCTCTTGAACAGCTATCCCAGAATTCCTTACGAGTACCGTCGAGTGATCCTCTAACCCAACTGGCTACCATTTGATTTTCCTGGCTGCTCTAAAGTGGCACGGGGAAAATGTTCTTCATATTCAGGTCGACAAAAGTCGCAAATGTTTTGTAATGCCTATTTCGTGGTAAATGCCTGTGTCACGCTAGGTTTTACTGGTACCAAAATTGTCACAAATCTTTGCCCCCCCCCATTAGCAGTGATTGTTAATGTCTTCGTGCATCTATTAACAAAACAGGCAAACGACTTAGCTGCTGCATTGTTAAGAGATCATCGATTTAGCCGCTGCCAGTTAGTAGTGGTAGTGGTACAGCTTGCTGAATTTTTGCGTTACTGGCACAGACAGTTCAGTCCTCACAAGCTATTACGCGGCGCCAGTAGTAGCAACTCGTAATCCCATCTTGGCGAGCTGGCTGGATGGTTCACAGGGCTTATAATGGCCATCTCAGTGCACTGAGCGAGCACCGCTAAGATCCTTGGTTTGAGATTAAGCCTATGTTTGTGCAGAGCAAGACTGGGGCTCTCGACTAATTATTCCACAAAAATAAACTGTCATGCAAATGTAGCATGGAAGAGTAGGCCAATTACCCACTGGGGGGGGGGGGGCGGGGCTCTAGCCCTCTCGTGGAGGCCCATCCGCCAGCAGTGGCATGAGCAAAGCAATTCTACGGCTGCTCCTTTACCGTACGCGTGCACACAGCTTTCCACTTAATTCAGTCCAGCTGATCATTGAGGGCTGAAATGTGCAAATATATGGGACGAGTGACACACGGTGATGCGCTGTTTACAGATCGTGAAGGTGCGCCGACTAGTGTGTTGGATAAGAGAGGCTTCTGCGCGATGTGACGCCTTTTGAAGTGGCTTGGTAGTGTCAACTTTCGGGGCCCATTCCCTTAGGGGCAGTGTTCTTCACTAATTTTCGGAGAGGGGAGGGCGGGGGGCACTTTCGCCGATAAGAGATAAGTCTGAGGTCCACCACACCACCTGTAAGGAGTGTTTTCAAATGTGTGTATTTGTCGGAGGGGGGGAGGTGGGGGCGCACGTCAGGGGCCGCACTAAAGGCCACCTGAGGGAGCCAGTGGCCCGCGGGCTTGGCAATGAAGAACACTGCCTTAGGTGATGACACGAAGATTTTGCCGCCTGTAGGAGTCGCCAGAATGGGGGAGGGGGGTGTTTTCCACATACCTCAACTGTCGACAGCGCGATTGGGATGTAATTGGTAGGAAAAAATATATATCTGAAGTTAAATGAGCTATAATGATTGGACAGGTTAGGTTTACCAAAAACAATTATCCCTTAGATTTATGTAGCTGAGAATCCGATTTATGATAACAGAGTAATTTACCCGTACGGTATAGAACCTATATCATCCGATACAAAACCTTAATCTCATCCGATACAGAACTCTTGTCTCGGCTGATAAAGAACCCTTGTGTCAATCGACACAGAACCCTCCTTTTATAAAAGGCTGCCTTAGTTTGGCTCGTGCATTGTCTGCCAATTCCGCTTAATGTACAGTTACATAACTCAAAAAATCTTAAGAGAACGCACTATATTAAATAACACTAAAGATTATACACCACTGCTGTTATGGCGACCAGTTTACGATTTAATGTCGCCTCTTATCCAACTTTAGTCAAGTAAGGCTTAGCTTATTTGATTCGGTGTAATACACGTGCAAATATATATGAATCATACGCAGTGGATTGGTTTGTAAGGCTGTTACTCCGATTAGCACGGTTGGCTACATACGGTGCGAAAGAAGGTCACCGTACATAACATACATTGCGTAAGGCGTCACTAACCTTTACTTCAACACGGCTTACTTTACAAACGTTATAAGGGTAACATTTGTGGCCATAAATATACAAATGGATGCCCTTTCTGCCAGCAGTCGTGTGAGCAGGCAAGCCATTGCAGGGCTAACACTTTATAAACTGTTAACACCACTAGCAGATTTGCTCTTGGAATTTCGTACCCTCTGTTTCCACCTAAATATTTATTATAAAATAAAATGAATACACTTGCGTTGGTGTCGTGAGGAGTCGTGTAAGAAATTGGGTTGTTATTAATGGTTAAAGTAACAAAAATACAGTTTTAATCGATTAATTTAGAGCCGGTTATATTTATTAAGAGTGTTTTCTGTTGATTTTTGTAATGTGCGTCAGCATGTTTGTGACAGATTCCGGATTGACGTATATATATTTTTGTAGATTCACGTTTGGGAAATGCACGCTGCTACTGATCTATTAATTGGCAAATAAACGGATGTTTTTGTTTTGCCTTAATTACCGTGTGTGTGTGTCTGTGTCTCATTGTGTGGGGAGTGGTAGTGTAGCGGTTAGCGCGCTGCACTACGAACTTGGCGACCTGGGTTCGATTCCCGCTCACGGCAAACACCACTGACGATCATCTGAACCGGTCCTGGGCCTCCCCTAGGTCGACTCAGCCTCAAATGAGTACCTAGTGTGGTGTGTAAACATCGCCGCTAGGGAGACAAAGGCGGTCGGGCGTGGTGCTGGCCACCCACCCCCTCGTGTACCGTTCCGGCCTTCATAGGTGCTCGCTAACAACACTTGCCCCTACAGTCTGTTAAGGCTATACGGGGGATCTTTATCTTTGTGTCACATTGTAACACCACATGTTACAGTAATACGTATTTGCCAAGGAACATTCAACAATTCTTTACCCACTTACTAGCAAAAATATATATATATACGATAGGCAACGTTTGGGACAATTCCCCTTCATAGTAGATACATAGAGATGCCAGATAGATACGAGTTGAAGACTGCACTACACACCACGGGGTGTGATACGAATAAAAAAAAATGTCCAGTTTTTAAATTGGCATGTGAATAGTGACCGAATCGTAATAGCCATCTTCCCGCTTATGAAAGCCTGGGTTGCCGTGGTCGCACAGTGATGAGTGCCACTGCTACCATCTGTGGCAAATTATATCTACGATGAAAAAGTATCACTGCAAGACGCCTCTGCAGAGTGGAAAATCCTTAAAGATGTGTGGAAGTGACTGCACGTTTCAGAGAGGCCAAATACTGGCGCACAGCTGTCCGTCCTTCGCCAAGAGCTGAGACCCTCTGAATACATGGCTAGAAGATGGTATGTTTTACCATCTTTTCACACCTTATCACCGTTTTTCACTGCAGAGGCATCTTGCAGTGTGACATTCCTCGTGTTCTTCCGGTTGCTGAACGAATACGTTATTAAGGTCGCACTCATTACACCCAAAGAGCTTGCTAGAAATGAACCACAACACTTTGCTGATCTCTTCACGAAGCATAAACCATCACGCAAACTCCAGTCATCCTCGCAGCGGCTTTGGCTAACCATCGCGTAGAGACGGTCACTGCATCGTGCATTTTCAGATGTGCTTCTGCGGCCGTCTGCAACGCTCTTCCGACATTAGGAAACCACTGGAGATATGCACTTTCAAATCCTCATCCAGATTGAAAACTCATGTCGTTTGAGCTGCCTTTTGTGTTCAGTTTATTGTCCTCCCGCACCTCCAATTAGCATGGTTGGCTATGTACCGTGCGAAAGAAGTTCAACATACATTTGCAGTGTCAGCGGTTCGGAGGGTTTCCAGGAGGCGGCGCCTGCTTTATTCAACACCTTCACACTTCACCGGTTCACCCGTACACTCTCCTTGGTTGTCGAGCCTAGTCTAAACACAACCCTGACCATGTAACACTGATGGCGCTGACCGGAGCAGCCAACAACTATCCGGCCGCGCAATATCTCGCGAAGACGGCAGCGACGAAGGCGGAAAGACGACAGCGACGACGAGGCGAGTCCGCTCCCCAAACCGGCAGCCCTGAGCTCCCGCTCTCAGCTCCTTTTATGCTTCCCTGCGCGGCCTGCCTCCGTCCTGGCCGCGCCTCTCTTCTCGAACCCACTAACAGGTTCCAGGGGCGTTCAGATGGGGTCTTCCATGACCCTTGCCCCAGTTCCTCCGCCCTGCCGACACACACACCGTGTATATGCTCACCGGCGTGTGTACTATTTGTCCACCGCAGTTGCCGCTGCTGGGCACCAGCCGGCGCTATTACACTACATCTACATTGTGACATTGCTATCGTACATCTTTGTGATCTGGAGGTAAAATGCCCTAAGGAATATAATCTTTAGCTTTTGCCACTTTGGGTGGTACCGATCAAACATTGGGTCAATTGGGTCAAGGACCAATATTCCAAATACTTCCTACGCATGGAAAAATAACAACATTTGGAAAAGGAAATTTAATTATAAATAATAAACCACTTCGTTGGGCTATCATTTGTGACCAGGTGACAATCTAGGGATACGGAAATTCTATCCGCGATACAGGAAATCTGGAGCAATAATCTCCGGCAGTAGCGTAACTAGCGTGGGGGCAGTGGGTGGCTTGCACCCCCCCTCCCCCTTAACAACCACCATGAGATAATTTTCAACAGCGGTGTAAGAGAACAACAACAATTATTTTGCGAAGACGGAGCGCCCCTACAGCGTTAAATGTTCGAGACCGTGAGCGTAACCATGATGTGGTGAGGCAAGATGACCGTGCGAGACGAATCAAATATTGGGGCCCTACCTGCAGTGCCGGATTAATTGTATTTTTTCACTTGCTATACAGCCAGATATAAATACGACAAATCGATAACCTTAAACACCCAGTCGTTCATAAAAGTTGAAGGCAGTATAGTACTATAGTAATCGAGCAAGTGCAGAATCACTGAACCGGAATTTATAGCTTGAAAGCATTTAGCGTAGGGCCCTTGAAAGTGTGGGGCCTGTAGCATATGGAGCTACTTTTGCAACCAGAATTATCTGGCACTATCTAGTTCAGGGGTCGGCAACCTACGGCTCCGGAGCCGCATGCGGCTCTTTACGGGCTGCTTCTTGACGATATGTACGTATGTACAGTATGTACTCAGATGCATTGCGGCTCTTGAAATACTGAATTTTGTATCGAATTGGAAAGAAATGGCTCTTCTTGTTATTTTGGTTGCCGACCCCTGGTCTAGTTGATCGATTGCCGCACCCTCTGAGCCGGTAATATCGTTGCTACGACCACTGATCTCTGGTGTTTAGTAACGGTAGCTGAGCATACTATTATTGGCGACGTGTGGACGTCGGGAATTCCACAACCACGCCGGTCACGCTATTCGCTAAACCGAGACGCGAGTGAGTTGCTCCACAGATCTGGCGTCATCGACACGACGAACGTAATGGAGTCAATCGAATGGGCAACAACGAAGCAAACATGAAAACCAGAGCAAGGGCCAACCAAGTACTGAAGAAATCGGCGCAAAATCGAAGAGATACAATTTGTAAGAGAAGCAATCAAAATAAACATCGGAGCGAAATCAACCCAAACAGGACAGTGCACACATTTGTGGGGGTATATCAACAACGATGGTCACCCCACCCTTGACCGAGTGGCTCATGCCTGAGCATGATCTGTTATGAGTCTTCGGATGCTTCCAGATCAGGTCATGGTATCGCGTATTACCTCCACCGCACTGCTGAAGTTGGCCTGGGGTCAAGGGGTCAACAAACCCATGACCTATGAATCCTACTCTCAGTTGCTCTTTGAGCTGCAGTGAATCAACGATTATGTCGATTCCATGTACGAATGTCTGATGTGGCTATTGTTCACAATTGCACCCAATGAAACATAAAGCACGTTTTCTTTGGCTCTTTCGGTAAAGTTACGTAGGTAGAAAAATATAATGAAATACAAAATAATATACCACGACGTTTCGACCGCTTGTTTTGCGATCGAAACGTCGTGATATATATATTTTTTTATTTAAATTTTCTACCGACGTGACTTTACCGAAAGAACCAAAGAGTATGGATTCCTGCAGTCACGAAAGCTTCAAATCAAGAAAGCACGTTTTCTTTGCTTGTCTTACCCACAAGCGTAATGTGTGGTTCATGCAGACTCGATTATATGTCTTCTGGTAACAGGTGTCTATTTGGTGTTTCAACATTTTAACACCTGGATTTATTTTATTATTGCTGGAAAGGGTAAAAGCCTCTTCTTTTTTCATCAGCGTGGATTTCTTTTTAAATCCTTTATATTAAGTTTGCTTGCTTGCTTGTGTGCTTGCGTGCTTGCTTGCTTGCTTACGACCGTGCAAATCTTTCGGTCTTTTTTTAACCCACTTCCCGTGATCCAATCGAGCTGCCATTTTGCACACAGACTCGTTGTGCGAGACAATTAATGTTCGTGAAAATTTTTTTCCAAAATTTTACACTGTTTAGGGAAAACAAATTAAATATTTAATTACCAATTGCTTAATACTGGCAGACAATCATCTGACCCATAGGTGGCAGCAATCTCAAGCCAGAGGACGAGAGGACTCTAGCCGCCACGCATATAAAGGATTTGTAATAAAAGGACTCGAACACTTCTCTCTGTCTTCGTGTCTTTATTCAGGTTCACGTCTTTACCCACACGGCACTCTGTTATAACTCCTGTATTTGTAGCCCCCGGCTATTCACTGCTATTATAGCTTCCTCTCCCCTCTGACTCTCTGCTTCATCTACTGTAACCTCCTCCCTGCAGACTCGCTGCTACCCCTATGTGCAGACCCTCTGGCTGTCACTGTATGCAGACCCGCTGCCCACCCTCTCTGTGCAGCCCCGCTGCTGACTGCAGCCTCCTCGCTGCTTCGGGTCGGTCACCGCTGGCCAACGGTGCCGATCCTCGCTCCCCCCGTGTTCGTGGCGATCTCGCCACACCCCGCTTCGCCCTTCGTGGCCTTCCTCTGTTCCTGGTTCCCCGTCACTCCTCTTGCTCTTCCGGTTCCCCTCCTTCTATATCAACCCCTCTGACCCCCACGTGACCTAACTCCTCCCCCCCTGACGGCACCTCAGAAGGGCCGTTTACAACCGCATTACATCACCCTCCCCCCTAAAGAAAATCCAGCCGACCTCGGCTGAATTGCAACCTGAAAAGCAATGCGGGTGTAAAGGGCCAACACGCAAAAAGACACGAAGCATTGAAGACATTATAACAATAACACAACACAACACAATCTAACGAAACGTGAGGGATTTCGAGCGAGTACGGGTAGCCGGGCCGTCCCGGACGGTCGGCGGCCCACCCGCCGAGCGGGAACGTGGAAGGGTTTTAGGGGCGACGGGCGCAAGTTCTTCCGTCGCCATTGGAGGCCCGCCACTGTCCCGCTCGCGTCCAGAAACATCCCGTACTCGCGTCCGCGGAGGGATAGGAAGAGCTGCAGGTCCCGTGGGTTCTGCGGCTCCGGTCGGCGTCCCA